CCTTTTTTTGTTGGGTGTTTTTTTTTATGCTCCCCCGGTTTTTTTTTTTTTTTTTTTTTTTTTTTTTTGGAAGAGAAGGAAGGCTCTTTGGGATTACATTTACCTTAATGCAAATGCTAAGGTTAATGGTACCAATAAGTGCTAAACCAAGGATTTTCTTACTATTATTATTATTTTCCCCCCTGTGACTGATTACTCATTTAAAAATGGGCATTTTCTAAATTTATCATCTTGAATTAATGATGGATTTATTTTAGGGATTTTTCACACCTCTTTTACACATTTCCCAGCTGCGTCAAAGAAACAGCAGCACAGTTTATCAGTCCCAGATTCTTAAGGTTACATATTCAAAGTGTAAAATATGCTACCTTAACTTTACATGGGAATTAAATGAGGTGTAGCAGTGAAACCCAATAACTGGCCAACTCCAATAAAAAGGTCATATAAACCCAAGTGGCTATATGTGATAGAGTGAGCTTTGGTTGCATGTAAACGTGTTGTGTGGCATTTAAAAAAAAAGGAACAACACAAATGCCAGATTAACATATTAAAATCTTTGGCTAATGTCTGAGTATGATTTGATATTTTATTTTGGTTCATTTTAGATTTCAGTTCCATTCCAACAATGATTATTGGTCATTATATGGACACCATAACTTAAAAAAAAAGAGTCACTGAATTCCTAAAATAAATCACAGTTGACTGAAAAAGGTGGAATTTGATCAGCTTAATTATCTAAATATTCAGTTGATTTCTCCAGTTTTTCCAAATCTGGCCTCTAAAGAACAATATTCTGAGCCGGCTTTTGTGTCTTTCTGTGACATAACACCATGTAGTTAAAACAATGAGGTGGTGCGATAAGGGCAGGGTTAGGGTTAGAGGAGGCGTATTTCAGCAAAGGAACCAAGTCATTTCTAAAGAGAGGGAGGATTTGGTCAATTAACAGAACCTGCTCTGTCTCGCACGATCCTCCTGAACGTTCCTTTAACGTTAATGAGTCATGGATTTCTGCAGTTTTAAATGAGCAAAAATACGTCTGTGCATGAGAGAAAAAAAAAAAACATAATTGTCTGACTCCTCTTCAGGGAAAAACAAGCATCCATTTTTTTGTGCCATTTTCAAAGGATAAAACATTTTTAGAAATTCACCTATAAAACAGATTCCAACAATTCCCAAATATATATATATATATATATATTTTTTCTTCAAAGCCGAGGTTTAAAGTGGAGCTCTTCACAAACACAGGATCAATTCCTTTATGGGACGATCAGTTCAGCCTTTGATTTGAGGAATTTCATTCTTCCGTCGTCATTAGCAGAAGACAACTGGAGGTTCGTCGTTCTTTGCTCTATTAAAATCTTAAACTTTCAGCTGGAAGGATTCGACAGAGAACCGATGAAGGCTTTTGGGTGAGACCGAAGGAAGTTCAGTAGCTTTTTATTCAAGCCTGTGGACTTATCCGTGAAATATGGTGGGTTCATTTATTTAGATTTGGTATAAAAATGTTTTGTTCTGGCAGATGCATGGATGCAAATGATTTTACCCTAGTTTAACATCTTTTTTTTTTTTTTTATCAAAGTGAGATCTTTAGAGTCCGGTCACTTGTGTTTTTCCCCTTTTCTCAGGAACGAAGGAGATGTGAAACTGAAGTTTATTTCCTGTGGAGCTGGCCGGGTGCATTCGGGTTGAACTTTTTAGCCCCGGCCTGGTAGATGGATTAGCGTCTATCAATAATTTACCTCACCTTAGACTTAATGAGACGCTTCTGTCCCCACAGAACAATCCGAGTTTGGCTGAAGAGGGACAGCGGTCAGTACTGGCCAAGTGTTTACCACACCATGCCCTGTAAGTTTCCCGTCTGTATTTCATGTCTGCACTGCTTCTTCTTATCCCTGTTTTCGCAATCTCATTGGTGCAGTAAAAATAATAGAAATAACACTTTGAGCCAAGTTAATACTTATGGTCACAAGGAATCTCTTTTTTCTGTTTTCTTAAAGTCTGCAGATTTCACGTCCTGACAGAAATCAGTTCCTGCAGGAGTGTTTAATGTTCTTTCTCTTTGTGTGGCAACGCCGCACATTTTTGACAGTTTGCCTTGTTTTCCTCCAGCTGGGCGGCTGAAGGAAATCCCATGTAACAATCAGTAAGATCTGCCTCCGACAATGTGAAGCATTTTGGTTTGCTGACACAGGAATCCATGTTTCACACGCCAACCGCAGACGTTTGCATTGCTAAAGCGGACTTAAAATATGAATTAACCCAAACTTTATTACAATTAAATGATTCCTGTTAATGAGGTGATTTATTTATTATATGAGATGCGTTAGGAGGTATTTTTCTTTTTTGTAAACCTTAAAGAAGAACGGTTTTCAGCCAATTATTCTCCTGTGCCTCTTGACCTTTTCTTCCCTTTCATCATCTTCATGTTACAACCCCAAATGTCAAATTATTTTTTCTCGGTTAAGTTCATGCAATGGAGCAACACAAACCAATGCATAATGGAGAAGTGGAAAGAAAATCAACTCTGGTTTTTGAAAATTACTTTTATTAAAAAAACAAAAGGCGGCTGGGCATTTTATTTTTCTATACCTCTAAATAAAATTCAACATGAATACTTCTAGAAGTCTCCCTGTCAGTAAATAGAGGAATTTAATGTCTGGCTGCATGCAGCTCAAAAAAAAGAAAATAAAAATTGAAAGGAAGCAATAGAAGAACACAGCAAAAATATAAAAGATGAAGCTAAATGCAAGTAACTAGAGGTGTGCCGATCGATCGGTCACCGATCATAATCGGGCCGATTTTCGTGAAAAAGTGCATGATCGGTGATC